CGTTTACGACCCCTGTATTTTGGGCAGCTAATAAATGATACTTCAAGATTATCTTGTTGGAGTTTTCGTGTTTTATCGAAGACGTTTTGTAATCTACTTGAATTTATTTAATATTTTAAGCCATGAAATGAATTGTGTATTGAGAAAACCACTTCCGACCATTATAATATAAAAAAAAGTTTTGAATCAATATTAAAATAAAAAAAACATCCTACTCTCCTAAATCTAAGGTCACAGTCAAGATATTATGATCATAGCAACTAAAAGTTTGTTAGCAGTACCACTGAAACTATCATTTGCAGTTATATTCACTGACAATTTATGTACTCAGCTGCGAAGTAGTTACTTAAAAAATACGGAAATAAACTGCATGTCTGAGTAACAATAAAAGTTATAATTTACTAGTAAAATTCAGAAGACCTTATCCTGTCTACATATACCAATTTTTAATTATAGAAGTTGATGGGCTGCAACGCCATCTAGTAGTGAGTTACAAAAAAGTGCATAATATAAATAGCTTTAAATAATAATATAATCCAAATAATATATGCCAACTTCATGGCAATCAGTCAAACGGTATCCAAGTCCATAAATCACAAACGGATGTAACAACATCCATTTTTGTAAAAATATATTTCGAGAATACGTCAAGTCTTGTAACATTAACTACAGCAGTGTGGTAGGCACAACTGTCTGTAATATATAATGTACTCTGTGCGCACAACTAGCTTTTACATTCATAATTGGATACTTTGTTAAACAGAGTATTAAAGTAATTATTATTGTAAAGAGAAGGACCGAGGTGTGCGAAAACCTTTATATTAAATTGAGAGTTGTCTAACGGAATACTCCATATTTTCTCATTGCGACATTTGGTTATTATAACAAAAGGGATGTTGTGATGTTGTATAATACTTCTTTTGACTAGTGTTTATTCTGTGGTCTAAGAACTGGCAGTAACTTCAACTGACGCCACCGACCATCCCGCGGTGTGAGTGCTCCAAGCCTCATGTACTTTTCACATAGTGCTCAGTACGCAAAGCATACCTATCCCTGGACATCTTCAAGCTGAGTTGGCCTGACGGCATCCCCACAATTGTGCTGATGAAGTGTATTTCAAAGTTGAAGTCCCGAAGAATGTAGTTCCGAATTCATGGAATACAGCTTCCGTGTACCCGATTATAGTTATCTATCTAGCCTTAACGGAAAGATGTGCCAAAACAAATTGATTTAAACATTTCTTGAACGGTTCGCATTAGTTTGATAGGCTAAATATACAGAACAACACGGGCCACCGGCTGATCGGAGGGGAGTAGCCATACGCAGGCGTTCCGTACAACAAAACTTAAGCAAAAAAACCATAGATTATATAATGTTACGATCTGCTAACTAGACTAAATCTAGGTGCGCGGCTGAATGGAATTGCTACAAAAATGCCGAATTGTTCAGTTTTTTTTGCTACAAAAACATATCTGTAACGTCAAATTTACAAAAGATGGCTTACCTTTCATTTATAATAAATAGTCTGAGAGCTGGCGACGAATTTTGGGAAGGTCCTTTTGGCAAGTTGAAATTGTGAAAAAATATAATTTCGTCAATTGGCGAATCCATTCCCGTGATTCTGGCAGAGCTTTTGCGGTTATTTCGTTACTGCGCAGCAAATAACATATGCAAAAAAAATTTTCAAAAAAATGTTATTTTGGCAACTTGATTTCTTTTTTATCTTTTAATTTAGTTTTTACATAACCCCAAAAAATAATCCCAGGCGTTTTTGTCGGTTTATAAAGTATTACCAGACCTCTCCAAAAATATTTTTTTACAATTCCCAAATATATACTTAAGGCAATCTCAAATTTTAATCACGTATTTATTGAGTAATTTTTAATAATACCAGCAAATCCAGACGAATTTAGCGGTTTTAAACAATTCCCAGACATGAATAAAGTTTACAAATTAATACGACAAAAAAGTTTTATGTTTAGCCACAACTGCAAAAAAGATAGCTTATCGAAACATGCCGACAGCGGATGGGGTCTAAGCTCCTCGCGCTGTGATTGGTTATTAAGAAATATCTTTTTTAAAGATTTTTAGATTAAGTTCTTATTTTGGGATTTAGCATGTATGTATGCGCCTATATGTCCATGTAATATTCTGTGTATATAGTTTGAATAATTGAAGTAACAATTTGTATAATAGCTATTAATTTTAACTTCGTATTAATAATAACTGAACACGTAGTGCTTATAAATTGATTGACTTATGATTACCATAAGAATATTATTTCTTGTAATCACCCGATGTAGAAATTATTTAAGCGCAAGTAAATTTCATTCATAAAAAGGGCTTTATACTCTCGTCACGATTCAGCATTATGTATCGAAGTGTAATTATGCGCTAGTAATTATCCACCTGAGCTTCTTTAACAAATCGTGAACAAACTTAATTAGGAAGGTATATCGCCTTTTTGTAGTCGTTTTTTTCGTTAATTTGTTTTAATAAAGGTGGGCTAAGGTGATGAAAAAAAACTTTTATTATGTATTAAAAGGTACCCGTTTTATTTTCAGTCAGTGGCTCAATGAAAGAAGTGATTATTGCGATTATTTTGTCTTATCTTGGTCTGGAATTTAAAGGTTCTATTTTGATGCGGAACTAATAAAAACATGTGGTACAATTAAAAATTTTGTAAAACCGACTCCAATATAAATAAAATGAAAACAGCATCAATGTAGTCGAAGTCAATTAAATACGCATTATTAAGGATAACTCAAAAACTACTGGTCAGATCAATCAAATAACATCAAATTTTTATGGGATTATATAAGAAGCATCAGCTTTGAAATAAAAAAAAATCATCAAATCATTCACTTAGAAAAAAGATATGAGGTAACACACATAAAAAAAATTACAGTCAAATTGAGAACCTCCTCCTTTTTTTGAAGTCGGTTTAGAATAGGTAAGTTGCTGTGTTACTTGCCTAACATGTCGTAAAAGGCGACAAATATGATTAGTATTGCAGTTGTGCAGGCGATGGGCTAGCCACCTATTACGTCTTACACAATTTTCCATCTAAGCCCAAAGTTTCTTGTAGCACGCTGCTCTTTGAATTCTGTCTACTTCCTTGAAAATAACAGGAAAGACTCTATGTATGTATGTGTATTGAGAGTTTGTATCAGTATTATTATGGCAACAAAGAAATTCAGTATTGTTTTTATCATACACAGGGTCAAAGAGCATATAATCACAACGTTTACTTGGTCAAGGTGACAAATGAGCACAAAGCTTTATATAGATGGATGCGGCCCACAATACAAGCGTGGCTTCACCACATCTAAAAACTGCTTGCGTGGACGTGGGACGTGGAAATCTAATTCAGTTCCAGTCACTGTATTCACTTAAAGGGTGGACTTCTTTGTCACTCTTCACCATCAACACAGCCTTTCAAAAGTCGCAGCAGTGGACTTAATGATTTGATCATAGTCTCATCCATATTTTCATCAAATGGATCCTATGTGGAGATCTTTTTTGACATTTTTCATTTTATAAAGTTGTTATCAGAAAGGTGCTGCTGTCCATAAGCTGTTTCAGTTTCTCTCTTTCCCTCTTGCGGCAGGCACGGGTTAACTTAGATTTGTGAATTTTCTTACGTCGCAAATACACGGTAAAACGACTACATGGCACGTATACTTATATAAAATAACCCAGCATTGTGTTTGAGTGGCTATTTAAGAAATAATTTAAAATTAAAAATTTTATACAACCGACTTCAATATAAACTATTAAGAATAACTCAAAAACTATTAGTCTGACCTTGAATAATAAAAAATTATATAGGACCATATGTGAAGCAACAGCTTTCAATTAAAAAAGACTCATCGAATCACCCAGTAAAAAGTTCTGAGGTAACACACACAAAAAAAAACATACAGTCGAATTGAGTACCGTCTCCTTGTTGAAGTCGGTATAAAATGAATAATACTTTCCGCAGCAGCTTTACTGCAATACATAACATAATATCTACTACTAACCTATTGTTTTTAATAAAACTGAAGTGACAAACCAACTAACAGTTTACATGATAGTAAGTATCTACAGCAGTCAATGGGCATCTGCAGTCAACTTTAAACAAAGAGGAATACAGATGCCGTGTCTGACCACTAATATGGAATGCCAGCCTGTCATAATACTGGTTTTCTATCTTCAGACCTATTTACATATTTAGGGATGTTTCCAGTTTATTTAACTTAATTTTATGTATTGAAATAGAACAGAAAATGATAACAAAAGTCACTAAACTGCTTTTTTTAAATAGTGTGTAGAAGTAATTTATACAACCTACAAGCCGAAAACAGATTCATTATGTTTTCGGCTACCTTCTTCTTACGGTAATTCATAGTTGTGTAATGTATGATTTATCAAATCTGTTGATTTCCTTAAAATAAAATATAATGTAATAACGCAGGCCGATGGCACTACTACGATGGCTTACTGATCCGTTGGACTTTTCAGTTTCTCTCATTCCTTCAACAAATTTAATCACGTAAAGAAACCAAAGAAAAAGCAATTGCAAATCATAGTAGAAAATTATTTTTTTATGAATTCTACGAGAGATTTATGTTAAAAAAAAAAACACAATTTACATTTTAAACTTTATTGTAAATATTACACATGTATTTATTATTTAAATGACAATAACGTAACATCTTAAAATTACGATTAAATTGATACTTCATTTTTTGGTGTAAATTGGCTTTGGGAGTATTATTAAAAATGCACACAATCATTTAATAGAATTGACTATTTCCTACTTCATTTTTTTTCTATCAATACATTATTTCGCTTTTTATTTTTTACTTTCCTTTAATTTGCATTTCATCATAGATTCTAAATACCTTTGCAAATATCTAAACCGAACGCGGTTCATGGAATATCTAAAGCATTGGTTCGTTACGTTATTGTTTTAAGTACATGCTATTTACGTATTAACGAATACTATATACTAATTAGTCTACAGTGATGAGGCCACACTCTCGAATGACTTGCTCGGCTGATACGGGATTCAGGAACACTGAAATTCATAAAATAGTCAATTAAGTTATAAATAAATTATATCTAAAAAAAGTTATTGGTAACCAGTGACGATACACATAGATTGGGGCAAACAACTATATGCTTTCATATCACCTCCTACTCCTCAAATATGGGTCAAAACCGTGCAGTGGGCCCTTTATTCCCTGGCAATAAGCTTTTTTTCTTCTTTCCTTTCCCTCTCTAAAAAGGATTTGCGTTAAGCGCCCAATGCTAGGATGCCATGGAAAGAGATTATTAGGTGACGAATAATAATAACACACAACTAATTGAAGAGCGTGCAATGTTGTAACATTCTTTAAAAGCGCTAGCACGGCGCGGATACGCTTACGTGGGCAATACGACAATATATACATTACACATCACGATATAAAGACATCGTAGCACGACCCCTGCCACGCTATCTGTGAATTTCTGCAATATCAGGGGACTTCACTTGAACCTAAACACCGTCCACTACCATCTCGAGACGGCGAAGCCGGCCTTGCTCTTTCTGACCAAGACGCAGGTGTCCTCTCTGGCTGATACTTCGTATCTCTCCTACCCGGGGTACAAATTAGAACACTCCTTTGTGCCTCGGGCTGGAGTTTGCGTATACGTTCTGCGATATCTGTTATCGACGCTTTGGCAGTCATGAAGTTCGAACCTGTCCATCCTTTGGCTACGCGTAGACAGTGACGACCATCCGCGCGGCTACGAGTGCCTCTATAGGTCCCACAGGGGTAATGCCGAAACAGACTGACTCATCGACCACGTCCAAATGGCTACAGATTCCTTGCTACAACAGGTCACATCCGCAGAGATCGTGATTCTTGGCAATTTCAACACCCACCACGCCGAATGGCTCGGTTCACGTTTAACCGATCATGCGGGGAGATCTGTTTATGACCTTGCCATGGCATATGGTCTGACACAAAGGGTTACTTCACCTACGCGGATTCTAGAAGTGGAGGACACTTTTCAGATCGCAATTGAATTCTGGAAATTACAATCATTTTCCGAATTATAAGAAAATGACTGAAAAATTCAACAAAACTGCGATTAATTTCAGTTATGTAGAAAAGCTAGATATTTTGATTCAATCTTTTCAAGACAGATTTTCGGAGTTTAAAAAAGTGAAACCTCTGTTGGACATATTTAGCAATCTAGCAATGTTGAAAATGCGCCAGAGTCAATGCAGTTAGAAATTATCGACATTCAAAACGACCAAGATTTACGCAACAAATTCAACGAAGGAGACTTGCTGAACTTTTACCGCTGCATTGATAAAAATACGTACAAAGAGTTGCGCATAAACGCTCTGAAATGTGCCAGCTTATTTGGTTCTACCTATATATGTGAACAAACCTTTTCAATACTAAATAATAATAAAACAAAAAATGATCACCTTCCCTGTTGGACCTTCTGCTGACCTTTCATCCAGACGGATATAAGGTTTCCGTCGATGCGGCTCCCGACTCTTCGGACCATTATCTGATCCGGAATTGGTGCTACTCACGCTCCCCTGCAAAACGCAACCGCGCGTTCTGCAGGTTGCCGCCGTGTTTGGTATTACAGATCGGAAGATTGGGACGGAATGCGGTCTTTCTTTCCATGCTACCCATGGGGGCGGGTTTACTTCTCACCGAATGATCCCAGTGCTGTTGCTCTGTTACTGATGTGGTGCTACAGGGAATGGAACTGTTTATTCCATCATATGTGGTACCCGTTGGAGGCAATTCTCAGCCTTGGTTTGGTCACTCCTGTAAGACTGCATTACGCAGTAAGCAGGAGTGTTATAAGATCTGGGCTTAGGCTTCGGTGGCTCGGGATGTAAACACCAGCGTGCTTAAAAAGAAGTATAACTTTGCCTCCAGGTCCTTCAAAAGAGTTATTGCCAGGGCAAAGTCAGAGCAGATAGGCAGAATTGGCGAGAAACTAGTTCGTCTTCTTTTGGAAACCCGTGCATTCTGGTCTCTCGCCAAGGTTGTCAAAGGGAAATTCTGTAAGCCATCACTACCATCTCTGCACAGGGAGGAAGACTCACTGGCCCACGTCGCAAAAGAGAAAGCCGATATTTTTGCGTCCAGTTTGACTCTTGATGACGAGGGGGACACACCGCCGACCATCCGTGAGTGGTCCATGCCGGATATGCGGTTCTCACAGCGCTCGGTTCGTAAAGCACTCCTCTCTCTGGACATCCACAAGTCGAGTGGGTCTGACGGAATCCTTCCAATTGTGCTGATAACGTGTGCTCCAGAGTTGGCACTGGTTCTAACGCGTCTTTTCCGGTAGTCTTATTCTCTCGGCGTAGTCCCGAAATCATGGAAGATAGCTTTTGTCCACCCGATCCCTAAAAAAGGCGACCGCTCAGACCTGTCCAACTACAGGCCTATCGCCATCGCCTCCTTGTTCTCCAAAATAATGGAATCCATTAATAACTGCCAGCACATGCGGTACCTTGAGGATCACCAGCTGATTAGTGACCGCTAATACGTTTTTCGTTGGGGTCAATCAGCTGGTGATCTTCTGGTCTACCTGATTCATATAGATATAGATGGGCGGAGGCAGTAAAGTCCAAGGGAGAGGCATTGGTCGTTAGTTTGGACATTGCTAAGGACTTCGATCGGGTTTTGCACAAAGCGCTTCTTTCGAAGCTCCCTTCCTACCGACAAATTGTGCAATTAGCTTTCTTGCAGATTGGAGCATCAAGGTCGTTGTAGACGGTGCATGCTCCGGCTACAAGCCTACTAACGCTGGTGTTCCACAAGACTGCGTGCTATCACCAACCCTATTTCTTCTGCATATCAATGATTTGTTGCAAACCGGTAACATTCATTGCTATGCAGATGACAGCACTGGTGATGTTCTATACACTGGCCGTGCCAATATTTCTTGGGAAAACGTCGTCGAGTACCGGAACAAACTTGTGTCTGAAGTCGAGTCTTTGTTGAACAAAGTCTCTGATTGGGGGCGACTAAATCTAGTCCAGTTTATCCTCAGAAGAAACTAGTTTGCGCGTTTACCGCTAAAAGGAACCCTTATGTCGTATCTCCTCAGTTTCAAGGCACTCCCCTTGTTGCCTCAGCCAGTATTGGAATTCTCGGCGTCGACTTGTCGAGTGACGTGCAGTTTCGTGGTTACTTGGAAGAGAAGGCCCAATTGGCCTCTAAAAAGCTCGGCGTGCTCAGCAGAGCGGAACAGTTTTTCATACCGGCACAACGTCTGCAAATTTACAAGGCGCAGGTTCGGCCTCACATGGAATACTGTTCCTATCTCTGGGCTGTGGCTCCCCAGTGCCAGATCCTTCCACTTGACCGCATCTAGCGCAGAGTGGCTCGAATCTTTGACGACCGAGTCCTTTCCAATCGGCTCGATTTCTTTGGCACTGCGAAGAGATGTTGCATCCCTTTGCATTTTCTTTCGCATTTACCACGGGGAGTAATCTGAGGAATTGTTCGGATTGATCCCAGCCGTCAATTTTTATCGATTGTCGATTACCACCAGCGATTTTCCGGAGCGATACGAGTTAGGGACCTTCAAGAAAAGAGCCTTCTCCTTTTTAAAAGGCCGGCAAGTCTGGTTCTCCTGGTATTGCAGTTGTTCATGGGCGGCGCTAGGCACTTACCATCATTTGAGCCGCATGCTCGTTTGCCCCCTCTCCTATATATGAAAAATTACGTTAACTATATGAGCGACAGACTGTTGGATTTGGTGATTTGAAGTGTACTCGTATTGTACAAAGAGTCGTGCCGTTCTCATTTCCGGAATATGGCCACCATCCTTCTTTATGTATTGACATAAGTATTGATTATACTTCATGTCTATTTCCAGCCACGCGGATAGTACGACGTTTTCGAAATTAACCGAGAACTGTCAAATATATTGGGAAGATCATTTAATTCTAAACGATATTGATGGTGCTGTTGATAACTTTTATAAAATTGTACGTGATGTGATAAATAGGTTTGTCCCTCATAAAGTTGTTAAAAATAGTACTAAATACCCAGTCTGGTTTAATAAGCGTCTAATTGAACTCATCAATAGAAAACTTAAACTTCATAAAAAATTGAAAATTTATTGTAGAACGTATGATTATGACAACTTTTCGAATGCACGGCGTAATGTTTAAGAATATGAAGTTTTGTGCTATGAACAATTTATTAATCATGCTGAGAAAAATATTTGATTTGAGTCCCCAAGTATTTTTGGTCGTTCCTTAAATCAAATCGAAAAAGCTGTGATATACCTGATACTTTATACTTTGGTGATATATATGCATCGGATGGTCAAACAATTGTTGATCTATTTAATTCATTCTTCCATTCTGTATTTGAGCTTTTTAAGACAATAATGTTATGAACTGCGATACGGAAAAGAATAATTGTATAATTAATTCTGTTTACATTGATAATGTTAAATTTGAAAAATGAAGAATGAAGAATCTCGATATCAATAAATATACTGGCCCTGATGGTATTCATCTTATGTTTCTCAGACAATGCAATAAGCATTTAGCAGCTCCTCTTTCATTATTCTTTAATATTTCTTTGAGGTAAAGTGTGATTCCCTGGTTTTGGAAACAATCCATTATTGTTTCCATATTTAAGAGTTGAGACAAACAATATAGCTAATTGCTGTGGTCGTATCTCCAAACTATCTATTATACCCAAGCTATTTGAAAAAATTACACACGACGCTTTATTTCCTGTAATCGAACCGCAAATAGCTTCAAGTCAGCACGGTTTCATCCCTGGGAGATCCACAGAAACTAACTTATAAGGGTTTCAGGATGAAACATTGGAGGCCATGGAAAAAGGCTATCAGGTTGATGCCATGTATACCGATTTTTCAAAAGCGTTCGATAACATTTCGCACAATCTACTGATTGCTAAACTTGTAAACGTTGGTATACACGGCGATCTCTTGAGATAGCTAACCTCATATCTGCGTGATAGGTCTCAGGCAGTAGCTGTTAAGGGCTATACCTCGAGCCTAGTTTCGATCACTTCTGGTGTGCTTCAGGGTTTTCATCTCGGTCCTCTTCTTTTTAATATATTTATAAACGGTATCTTGCGTAGCATTCAACATTGGAAAGCATTGCTATACGCTGATGATACTAAAATATTTACCTTCGTTAAGAATCTCGAACACGCTTTGCTATTTCAAAAGAACTTAAACAATTTTTATGAATATTGCTCGGCTAATAATCTAAATTTAAATATTGATAAATGTTATACAGTAACTTATTCTCGGGAAAAAAATGACCGATTGTTTACAATTATAAATTAAATAACACTTTGATTAAAAGAGTGACCGAAGTGGGGGACCTGGGAGTTTATCTCAATAATAAAACAGACTTTGCGTCACACATTGACAAGGCTACTGCCAAGGCTTATATAATGTTAGGCTTTGTCTTCCGACAATGCAAGGACTTCAAAAACATAAACACATATATTATGCTGCATAATCCTTTAGTAAGAAGTCATCTCACACAAATATGTACTTCATTTAATTATGTCTAAAGTTTACGCAATGTAAATTCTTAACGTTGGAAACTGTTCTGGCTAATGTATTGTTATTATTCATCTTACATTCAAAGGTGATATAAGGGCTCTAAGTTTCTTTTAATAAATAAAAAAAAAACAACTTACTTGTACTTCCGTTAAACAAATCATGGTCCGGAATGATACTAGCTGCTGCAATCGCTGCCTCGTCAAGCACTATAACCTGCAACACATAGAAAACAAATTTTATAGCCCGAGTTTTTTAATTCATGTTGTGTAATGACCCAATGTAAATTATTTTTACTAAAACTGTATATCAAATACGCTTACATAAACTGTATGTTTCATCAATGCCAGCGAACATTTAAACTTACATTGAGTGGGCTAAGAGCAAAATAAATAATCAATAAATATAATAATAAAAATCGACGAAGTCTAAGACTACGTATAGACTAGACATAGACTTATAAAATGAAATGAAATGAATAATGTTTGATGTCATCTTCCCGATAAAAACCAAAAATAATTAAGAACTTTGGTTCTTAATAATAAAAATCCCCCTTGGAGCAATCTATGGAGGACTCTTAATTCAGTTGAGTGGACTTTTGATACTCGTATGCTCTAATGAATGAATAAATTAATGAAATCTGACGGGTGATAGAAAACATGTTTACATACTACAAAATTCCTGTTAAGTTCAACATGTTGAATATTAACAATTCTTTTCAAGATCGCCAGCATGAACTATGCCATCAAGATAAAATATCCTCCCGCGCGCGACCATGGATGTTGCTAATCACCCGAAACGATGGCTGCTAAGAAAATTTAACTCAATAAAATTCGTAAAATAAATTATAAAAATAAATGTATAGTGTACCCGTATTCCCTTTCCCCTAACATGCAATAAAAAGTCCACTGCTGAACCTCCTGCCTCCCCCGTAGATTGACTCAAAGGAGAAATATTTGCCATAGTTGTCACGATGTTCAAGCGGAATCGGAACCAGTTTTATTTTTTATTTTAAATTGTTATTAAGAAAACGCTGCTACTGCTTCTAACGGCCACGGGCGATATGGGGTAGTGGATTTTCTTACACCTCCACTATTACGGTTACCGTATTCATAAGGAATAATTAAACAACAAACCCTTCGTTTACCTTGGGGAATTCGATCACATGCAGTTCTGTTGTGTGTACCACTTCAGTCTTTTTCTCTAAATCATTATTTCTTAAAGGTAATAAGTCAATGGCGTTCGCTGCAAGCGACCAAAGGTGTCCGGCGCCTTGAGTAGCTCGAGCTCCCTTTCGAAAGTGCGGATTTATGGAAAGATTGTGCCGCACTGAATTTTTCCAACGCTCATCGTTTGCTTTGTAAAAAGGGAAACGATCACTGAAAATAAAAACAGAAATTATTAGTGCCTACGCTTTGGAAACAAAAGTAGTTAAGCTATTTCTTATATTAAAAAAGACAGTGATATGATTGAATTTTATTGGCGTGCTATTAAAGTTTATATACAGATACTAGCGATACACTTCAGCTTCGCACGGGTTATTTTTGGATCACGACGATAATGACGATGATGAGCGTCACCTAATTGGCCCAAATATAGCTAAGAACAGTCCAGGTTACCCTATAAGTAAAGCATCCATAGGACACATAGTAAGAGAATAATTACGAGCACACGTATACCGGAATATTACAGATTTTTGTAAAATTTTATGCAACGGTTTAGACTCACAATTTGACCCGGTAAGTTGCAATGTTGTCGATATCTAGAAATTACCCGTACGAATCCGGGAAGGATCGCTATTATTAAATAAAACTGTACGAAATATGTCCCATTGACTGCCTTTATTCGGGCTGTAAACTTAACATTAAAAATACACACGCAGCTATTGTAGACTATATACATACGAGTATGTACGTCCCACTACTCCCATTTTGTTATGTTCTGGATAGATATTTACGCGAATACTACACATGGAATTAAACTAATTTTTATAGATCCTATCACGTTTAATTTTAACTTTTTTTAATTCTCGACGTTTCAGACACTTTACATTGTCCATGGTCATGGGAGGGGACTGTGACCATTGGCGCTTTACAATTAAACTCGAGAAATGGTGTGGTATAGTATATATAGAAGTGGTAATCCTTAGAGATATATACAATTCCTAGATGTAATTATCCTATGATGATCGCTGACGATATATTAAATCAGTTCAAAGCAATTCATCGACCAAATTACATTCATCATATTAATTGGTACCAGTGAATTTCAAAATATGTTTGTCCGAGTACTATGTTTTAAGGCAGGCACTTATCCACTGAGTTATAACGGCAATTTAATGAAATAAGCTGTTGCTTATTCAACGCTACTCACTCAGATTATGTATCAGATGTTTTGTTGGTTAAGAATTAGGGTAGTTTGTATCCGCCCTCTGTATCACATTGCCGCGCTTGACTGCAATCGATTCGTACCAGGTGGAGATGGGGCTCGCGTCATAGTCGAGTTGATTTGATGACAACACGACAAGGGGCTGACGTGATATCCGTGTAATAAAACACAAAACATTTATTTTGTGTTTTGTTTATGCAATCAATAATAAAAAGTGCAGATGGAAGGAAATGTGTAACGGCTTTAAGAGTGAGGAAACTTTCACTGCGCTGCCCCAAAACGTGTTGGCAGACTGAATATGTATCGAAAGGGTATTTATTATGTTTTTATTTTTAAAAGAAACGTTACCCCCATGCTAGGATTTTCTCCTGTGTCATGGAATTGCACAAAGACAAACATCCAGACCCGGAACAATTATTTGTAGGCCATACAAATACTTGTTCCGTGCGGGATTCGAACCTGCGGCCCCCAGCGCAACAACTGATTGCTAAGCCACTGCGCCATGGAGCCGTCAATGTTTCTCTGACTCATTATAGGTCTAAAATACAGCGGCGGTAAATATACCGCTGCTGTATTGTATAGCACAGCGCTACACCAGTGTGGCACCTATGCGAAAATATTTACAGCACCGCGCCTTCGTACCAATTGAATTTCTATTTTAAATAATACTTCAAGTTAAAAATAAGCCGCTTGTTTATGAAGCCTTGACATACGTCGCTAATTACAAATATTACTGAAATACTATTTTTTACAGTAATATAAGGATGACAAATTGGTAAAGAACTATTTGAATCATACGTGGTAGAGCCACGGTGCAGCTATATTATGGTAGTACGAGTAGCACGAATGGGTCGGCTCGACCGGCAATCACGCTCTCACATAATACCAGCATAAAATAGCAACTCCGTGTTGCTGTAGTTAGTGTAGGGAGTGTAAGGAACCGGAGACCCTTTTTACTGGAAATAAGGCATTTCATCTTAGTCCTCAGGGGTGACAACGCATCTGCATTTTGATTCTTAATCGAAGATAAATTTATATGTCTATGGGCCACAGCATTCACTTAACATCAGGTGGACTGTGTGCTCGTTTGTCACCCATATTATATAAAAATTCGTTTATGTTTTATCAGTTTGTAAGCAGATAAAAGCGTAAATGTATCAGTTTACACGGTAATATAGCGTTAACGAAGAGTGATAATAATTTAATAACATTGCTACCCCCCTGTTTACACACCGATAAATATCTAAATCCAAGTATTTATGTACGAGAGCATGGGCTACTGATTACAACTGATTACACAAATAATGTGGGAAATAGCATTTAAAAAGGTGATATTCTAATTTAAAAAATATCTGTTATTTATATTACATTGATCTGTTTTATATATATTTTTTTATTTCAACGATATATTTCGTTTAACTCTTTTTCTAAATGCCTCAAACAAAAATATTTTTAATTTTGTTTTATGATTATGTGTGATTTATATGTGGGTAAAAATGATGTAGTGATGGAATGAAACTAATGTTCCATTCCATCACTTCAAAAAAGGCTGAGGTTCTAAATTCGATTGATATCTTCGTCAGTTATGAACCGATTATAATTCTTTAATCCTAAGAGTGAAAAACGTCGGGGTTTTAATTCTTTACACTTTTTTTGGCTTAGAGCAGACTTTAGATGCGATAGTATAATAGGAATTATTTTATTATTTTTAGGGTTTCGAAGTCTTCTTTTGAAACTTTTCTTGTTGAAACTTCTAAAAGAAAATAAAATATTTTCCAAGTTTAAATTTCACGGATATTAATTTATCAATTTTAATATATTCCCGTAGTTCCAAATGATTTGTCACTTCCATTTTTATATGTGTCTGTGTCAAATAAATGGTTCCTTTTTGCTTTCTTCCATAAGCACAATGGGCTAAGGAGTTCCTTAATAAGTAGTAGTACTAAGTAGAGTAGTAAGGACGTCCTGATTTTTTTTATAGAATTAGGGTGACAAACGAGCACACAGTCCACCTGATGGTAAGTGGTTGCTGTGGCCCATAGACATCTACATCTATCTTCGTTTGCGAATTAAAATTCAGATGCGTTGTCAGCCGTGAGGACTAAAATAGAATGCCTCTTTTTCAGTAAAAAAGGGTCTCCGGTTCTCTACACTCACCATACGAAACACAGCAGCACTAAGCTGCTATTTTACGCTGGTATTCTGTGAGAGCGTGGTCCTTCCCCGGTCGAGCCGACCCATTCGTGCTACAACTATACTATTAATATAGCTGCAGCATGGCTCTACCACGTACAAACGTTTATATTTTAACCTGACAATAGCCGAATGAAGCCACCTTCAATATTAGGGGAAAGGTGTTTTTCATACTAGTTAATAGTAATGCTTTAACAATACTGTGTTTAGATCAAATACAGTCAAATAAAATATTCGTATATTCATAGTTAGACTCTAAATAATAAATGCTCTCGTTGCTTTAAAAAAAATCGGAAAAAGAATATAAATTGTTTTTTTTTAAATCAAATTAATAACGAGTGATCATTGAAAAATCAAAACAAAACTCCATGTAATTTATTTTGATGATACCACAAAATATCTAAACAATAAACAACATATGAACACACTGAATACAAACAACGCATCCGACCTACGAATGAGACTACGTGATTTCGATTCCCTTTGTTAGCTTAATTTGATGTTTGCGCTGATTTCGCTTATTCTTTGTGTCTATTATACACAATATTCCGGCATTATTCAAATGATTTTTTTCCTTTGTTATTAGAAAGAAAAACAATGACAAAGGTTTATTTTTCTTATTGCTTATATAGCAACCTAAAATATTATCGTATGGAGTTTCACAACAAATGTCAAACTTCGCGAAGACTGTGGCGCTGTAGGAGAAGTGGACTTTGATATGTAATAGTGGTGCGATTTTGTGTATTAAGTGTCTGCGTATCTGAACTATTTGTGGAAACTGTGAAAAAAGTGCTCTGATGGTGATGTGATTCTCAAAATAAGGTGTCTGTCTACTTAGGTGCCTTGAGATACCATCGCCAACCGTCAGCTGTCTGCTGGCTCAAGTTGCCGTCAAAATCTCCCAAGGGCTGCACAATGTGACGCATCAACATATTGTGAAGCAGTATACTATGAAGGATAATTATTGTAATATATTGTAACTTCAGGCTCAGAAGGGCTAGATCCCAGAGCCGTAAAGCCAGTTATTAAGAAAAAGAAGAAGCTGTAGGAGACTTATTTACTAAGAAGGACTCTCATATTGGCACTTGTCCCACCGCCAACGATGAACGAGAATCGAGTAGAGCTAGAATCTAGGTACGAGTTAGCAATCAACGAGAAGCGAGTATATAGTTCCGATAGTTTTGTCGCTGGGCTATAAGCAAGTGCACTCAAATCCGCACAATCTATGGGAAAGGCCTATGTTAAGCAATGGACTTTTGTAGGTTGTAATGGATGAATGGAAGAATAGAATAGAATAGAATAGAATAAGTTGAACGTTTTGATAATTTCGTTCTAGAAAAATATTCAGTTTTCTATAAATTAGTTTACTTTCTGCCAACCTTTTCGCATTTAAACTTGTTTCCTTGATTCACGCTTACGACTTATTACATAATTATATAAAAATAATCAACAAATAAAGACGAAAATTATTAAGGATTAGATAGAATCAGACTATTACTTCGTAGTTAGTAAGACTTACGTAATTTTCAAATTCTCCGAAAAATATGATATAATACCTCGCTTACTTCCTAATAACGATTCCAAACGAAGCAGTAAAAGTATAATGATAACTATAAAAAGGCATTAAGATAATTTATTTTATATTGCGTTACTAAATCACGGCCAACGGATTTCACTAAGCATGTTGTTGTGGCTACGCTGATTCTCAAACCAACTAGATTTAGCGATGTATTATTTCGTCCGATTTTATAAGAAATAAATAAAATATATTGTGCTATACATTTTGAATTATATTAGAGTCCATCCCTACAATGAGAGAGCCGTATGTCTAGTACAATACCCTGAGAACTAAGATGTTAACCTAGTAACCAGAAAAAATGGTTGTTCGGTTCTCGTCTACCAAATATAAAACACAGCAACTTTATGCTGCTTTGTCAAGCTGGTTTCCTATGAAAACAATGTCCAAATTTACGGTCGAACCGACCCTTTTGTTCTGCAACCATAATACAATGTGGCTGTACCATAAACAGTTCGTATAATCCCATCCCAATGTTACATGCGGTACCTAATATACATTTAATAAATTTTAGAACAAAAAAATAAGCAAAGTTGTAGCGTAAGTACGCCTACTGCTAAGCAGAGACGTCTTCTCATTTCTGAGAGGTTTGTGAACCAATTAATCCGCTATGACAATAATGAAATTGTTTACCACGGGCGATTTTTTCGCACCGATACGACTTAGGGACCTTCAAAAAAACAGCTTACACCTTTCTAAAATACCGGCAACGCACCTGCAATTCCCCTGGTGTTGTGGTTGTTCATGGGCAGCGGTAATCACTCACCATCAGGTGAGCCGCATGCTCGTTTGCCCCCTCTTCTATATAAAAAAAAATTAAAAATCGCAGACCAACAAAGAAGGATAGGAGGAGCGGTACATATCAAGTGACGCCTAAACTATGTTTACAGTTTAATTTCTTGAAACTCACTCACGCACACATCTTTCTTCTTTCTTTCTTTAATAGCACATAACAGTCTACTGCTGGACGCACGTGTGCACCTAAAACCATGTTGTTGGTTGCAAATGATTTTAGACGCATAACGTATACGTGAGTGCGTGTTCTTATAGTAAGTTGAGCATGATTTTGGCTTGCTTTTGCGTCATTTGAAATGTACGCAACGTTAAATAAATAATTATCTAATAGTACTTTCATAGCTACTATTTATGCACACTATTTATATATAATATGGATATTTATTGTTATTAAATATAAATAAAAAAAAACTTACGAGATCCACTGGTAAATTGCCGACACCGTTAACTCCCCTTTTTCTCTCAGAGCTCTTTCGATCAGTTCTGGGTAAGTATACGGTGGCTTTCTCGCTGCTACAGGTGTATCTGGTATCTCAGTTTTCGGCTCCGCGATTACATCAACGTCATCATCCGGAACTTTAACGTTCACAATTTCGTCCAACCTAAAATTCAAAAGCCACGCAAGGCTCGCACAGTCGTTGTCTTCCACTACTGGCGATTTTGAACATTTCCTTCTCCGCCATTTAGATTTGTCATTCTGTTTCGCAGACATGTCTGTCTGAGCGATAGGAAAGCACTGACTTTGGTTTTTCGACGCATTTATAACGTGCCAGGTAGCGCTATCGCCAAACTCCCACAGATAGTTTATTATGCGCTTTGACGTTTACGACCTCCATGGTATTTTGATTTAATAAAAAAATATTTTTATTCAATATATCGTTGCTTATTTTTTTTTAGAAATTCAATTTATCCATGTCGAAATAATTTTGACGGTTGTTAATTAATGTTATTTTTAAAAATAACAAACAATATCTAAATTTTATGGTTCATATTTTGACAACATATGCTTCATAGTGGTTTCATGTGGTTTTTTATTGTTCTCTACTCGATTTTTTTCCTTTTATAAAGGATATCCCTCATTTAATTTAGAAATAAGAATTACTGATACAGTGTGAAGACATTTAAATATACATAAACTACACCCTGTGTATACTCGGAATTATTATTGTAGGCTTTAAGAATATTTTTGTGGTGCGGAATTCTCATCCTTGGTACGCGGCGCCGGACCAAACACTTTTCCAATGCGCTGTGGGGAAGTCAATAAAAATCGATTTTTGTGAACTCCGCAAACATCAATTTCGACGATGACTCGAATTCGAAAACTACGGTTTCGCGCATGAGTGAATAGAGTATGCGGTATATTATGTTTAGCTGCATATTATATTTCTAAGTACTACATAGCAGAATGATTATGTGTTTAATTATAAATTATAATGTTTGTATGGCAGACAAATTTAAAATTCATATTTTTTTTTAATATAAAATAAGGGTGACGAATAAACACACAGTCCACCTGATGGTAATTGGATACTGTGGCCCATAGACATCTACATTTATCTTCGATTAAGAATCAAAATGCAGATGCATTGTCACCCCTGAGCACTAAGATGGAAAGCCTCGTTTCCAGTAAAAAGGGTCTCCAGTTCCTTACACTCACTACATGAACTACAGCAGCGCTGAGCTGCCATTTTAAGCTGGTATTATGTGACGTGGATTAGTGGGATTCCTGGTCGAGCCGACCCATTCGTGCTACTACCATAATATAGCTGCACCGTGGCTCTACCACGTATGATTTAAATATTTCTTTACCAATTTGTTATCCTTATATTACTGTAAAAACAATTTATTTTGGTTCTCTACACTCACCATACGAAACACAGCAGCATTTAGCTGCTATTTTCGCTGGTATTCTATGAGATCGCGGTCCTTTCCCGGTCCAGTCGAACCATTTATGCTGCAACCGTAATGTAGCTGCAGCCTGACTCTACACGTGCAAATTACACACACACACACACACACACACACACACAAATGTGCCATATATGTATGTTAGTTAAACAAACGTAAATGGCACATTTGTGCATGTAACTTACTGAACAGAAGATTATCCTGCATAAGGTACATATTTATAATAGAAAAGAAAACTAACTATTGTTGTACACGTAAAGGCGATAAAGGAGCACACAGTTAAACTTTTAGTAAACTATGTTAACTTAGATTATTGTAGTTGGTTAAGAAATAAAATTCAGATACTTTTTCATCTCTGAAGACTAAAGTTTTTAACGTAAACTAAGATTTATTGATGGCAGAGCCATGCTACATCTATGTTATGGTTGTAGCAGAATGGGTTGGCTCGTCTGGAAAAGGACCACGCTGTTACATAATACCAGCGTAATATACAGCTTAATACTGCTGTGTTTCGTATGGTGTATAGAGAAACAGATACGCTTTTTGTTGAAACGCGGTATTCCATCTTAGTTTTCAGGGTTGACAACGCATCTGCATTTTGATTCTTAATCGAGGAGAAATTAATGTGTGCCACAGCATACACTTACCATCGAGTGGACTATGTGCTCGTTTGTTACCTTTATTAAATAAATTAGGTCGCAAACCACGTTACTTGTAATGTCACCCTAGAAAACTAATGAAATACCATAGGCCATAAAAAACAAGCAGTATTATGCTGCTATTTTACAGTGGTATTCTGCGATATCGTGGTTCTTCCCCGGTTGAACCAACAAATTCGTGCTACAGCCAAAATACAACTATAACGTGTACTACTATGTTAAATGAAGACTCATTTGTTAATTTAACTGAAATTGAGGATGCATGAGTGTAAGCCAGTTTGATCTAAACCAATTTTCGGTTTTAAATTGCATGCATTCAGTTGTTACAAATATTAATGAAGTTTTAAATAATGTAATCGAAGCAATTTGTCGCACTTATTATAAAAATCAATTCCTACTTTGATACCATAATATGTTTGCATTAATATTTTAACTATTAAACATATAATGCTAGAATCAACAAATGAAAATGAACCTATCCCGTTGTGGAGGGTTTGCCTTAATTATCACGGTTCATAGTCGGATTGACGATAGCAGTACCAGACGTCTTGCACCGTTGGCGCTGCTACCCGTCAGTCTGAACCGACGTTACCGTATACGGCCATCTTACGAAAAGCTGCAGAGACTTTTCTGACAATTTTCATAGTCGCCTCTTACAACACCCACGGAACTAAATAGTGCGAGGACACCCCAACACCATGGTGCACCACATTCGTCAGCTTACTAAGGTCAATTTTGAAATGAGAATACACACTCCTAGGTCATTTTTTACATGCCAAATAGTTACGATACGACCGTAAGCTATACAACTGCGCAGTTTTCGCCTTTTAAGACACCCACGGGATGATATGGGGTAGTGGATACATCGCCACTACACGGCGGATACTAAACGTATTTAACACAATAAAAACGTTTCATGAATGCTCGACGTAATTATAAGTAAATGAAAATACTTATTTCATAAACACATGAACGAATAAAATACATAAATTTCATTTACCGCTAATCAGAATTCATTACTTCAATTCTATAAACGGTGTTATATTATTATGATGCCTATTTTTCCTTATTAATTAAAATTAAATACTCAATCCCTATTAAATATTCATGAGATAATTATGGACGGAAACAATTTTATTAAGAAGCTTCATTGTTTCGGTTTTTCTCCAGCATAAATGATTACGTGAGCTTCCTAGCCTTTTAGTTTCGTAATACTATTAATATTATTACTATTAATCATAAATATGCTTATCCTTTATCTTATTTATATGTATATGGCTAGTCGCATGGCTCATGCTGCAGCTTTATCGTGATTGTTACACGAATGGGTCGGTTCAACCGGGGAAGGACAACGCTCTCACAGAATACCAGCGTAAAATAGCAGCTTAATGCTGCTGTATTTTAAATGGTCACTATAGAGAACCGTCACGCCACAAGCGAAACGCACCGAAGCCTGAAATGCGCTATCAAAATTCCGAAGCTGCCGCGCTATACACGGTGTAACATGAGGGGTGGATCATCGGTGGCTGGGGCTTGGAGGACCTCAATACCTATCGATTTAACCCCCCATAGTTAGTACAATATTCATTGGTTCAAAAGTTATTTGGACTTAAGTAAAAAAAAAATTCAAAATCCGATTTTACGAGTAGCTCCGCAATTGCAGCCAAACTATTAAGTCTGCTACTGTGATTTTTTTTTTCAATCAAGATAAATACAGGGTCTTTTGTACCTTTACATCAAACAGAGGCTTAGATTTATAAAAATCCAAATAAAACAATTATAGTATTATTTTTTTCAAAATCTAATGTTTGCATTAACTTTCTATGGATCTAAAACAAATGTTTCATATATTTATTTTTCTTCAACGTATCCTTAAAACTATTGGTTGTCATGAAGAATTAACCCAGAAAATTTCATTTGGCTAGTGCTGGGGTATCATGTTGAAAAATGTATCAATAATCGACATTGTTTCTTAAATTTAAAGTGTAATAAAAACGTAAGTTTATTTCGTTAAGCGTACGCTACGCTAGTAAGTAGAATAACGAGATTACTTTACGAAAGGACAGGAATGAGTCTAATAAAACACACAAATATGTACTGATAAAATATTATTTATTGTTTTTGACACACTTATTTAAAGTAAATGTTCAAAATAAATCCATTATTGGAGATACATAGCCTGCATTTAATAAAACTTGCGGAATGATTCTTCTTTTTCTTCATTTGGGCCTGATTCAGTTTCAGCCGTAATGGTTCAATAGAGGGTATCCGCTTTTGTACACCAGCTCTTTGTATTATCTCCAGAAAAAAAAATCTACGGGGTTGAGGTCTGGCGACCTATGAGTCTGGGCTATTGGCCCGCCACGGCCTATCCATTTAAGGGGAAAAATTTGATTAAAAAATTCGTACATCTAAATGTAATCGCCAACAAGAAGTGGTCTAACGCTGTCAACGGGCACCATTGGGTTCAAGCAAAGAAGATAAAAGGGTACGTCGTGTTGTGACCAAAAAATAATGGCATTAGTGATATTTTCGAACGCTTTCATATAACTGTAACGATTCATTAAAATAATTAAATTTTACTTTATTCAGTCTTAATTTGCTTGATATTATTCAAGCTTTTTATTAATGTAGTGTTTAACGGTATCATTACATTATATTTGTCTTCTTTGTTTAATTAATTTAACTATTATGGATTTAATATTATGTATTATATACTTTGTACTTTATATAATAACGCAACTATATTAGTAAGTAAATTAGTATTGTTTGTAATAAAGTATAAATTAGGTAGAAAAATACAAACTTTATAAAAGATACTGTTGTTGTTACGATTCGCCAACTAAGGCAGGCAAAGGTCTTAGACCTTACAGCCTTGTGTGATTCAATATTTATAAATACTGGCAAACAGATTTTATTCCATACCCTGATTAAATTTACATTGTTTACTGTATCCCTATTAACATTGATTTTGAGAAATGATTTGGTTACACAGACACAAACAAATAAAATTTTTGACTTTTGTCTTTGTTGGGAAATATTACTAAGTTGTGGACTTATTAATTTGTTGAATGTTGATGTTTTGTTATACTCTATTTCTGGTATCTACTTTTCTAATATTGTTTTTTTTATGTTTTATTAATTT